CCATGAATGCATTACCTTTGTCCAGTGAATTTTTGAAAAAATATTAACAAGTCTCAATCTTCTGTACATTCATTTAAGAAACGCATTCTCATTGATTCACTTTCCCCATACACAGAGGCCACAGAATTATAGTATCCAATGAATGCAGCTTCAATGTTAAAATAGTAACAGCAACAAGAATAAGAATTTTAAAACTTTTCAGGAAAAATACCTCGTACTGAATTGATGTCCCTGAAAATTAGGTGTAATTTTTTAAGATACAGTTTGTGCAAATTGAAATAGACTCAAAGGAAAAGAGAAAATGTTTGTTAAAATAGCATAAGGTGCCCTCACTCCCATCTATCCAGTAATCTGAATCTCCTGTTTTAAAAAAGCATACTCAGAAGTCTAGAAACAATAGAAAAGGATCTCAAAAATATTAAAAATATCACATAGTTCATGTTTTTCACTGCTGGAGAGAAATCTAGAGTTGTCCTCAACACACAACCTAACAATTTAGACACACGAGTAAAATGAATATACTCTTTTAATGAAGTTTCTCATGTTCACTCCATAGTTAACTAGTGGAGAGGAAATTAGAAATTGAAATAGTTTTGACAAGTACAGTAAAAATGTGTGTTACTCATACATATGAAAATATAAAAACGCTACTAATCCCAATGCTACACTGACCAGTGGAATACCGAAACTAACCCGTTATGGACATTGGGGAGACCATTCTAAGTATTTAATAACATTCAACGCAGAGGTTATTCTAATTTGAAGAAGGCTAATTTGAGGAAAGCTTATAGAATTCTTCCTATGCATTAACACATAGAAGCATTTTTGTCAGGTATTTTGCACATGTTCAACACCTCTAAAGTTTTCTGCAGCTCAAGCATTTGGAGTCAAGAAATGGCAGCAAAAATTCTTCCAGAGGAGGAAGCCTCCTTATTTTAAGTACTGAGTGTGACCCATTGTATGGAGAAATTAATGTTAAATGCAAGAACAGAATGAGGACCTGCATCTCACTGAGGAGACTGAAGGCAACACAGAACCAGGGCTCAATACAGAAAAAACCAGAACAAGAAATACGACCAGCCTAGGGTGGAACATTAACATAAGACCCAGTTGGTGACAAAACATACATGCCAAGCACTGTGGATACAATAATTAATCTGCCAAAGATAGCCACCTCTCCTCAAGGTCACGGTTCTAAAAGGAAGGCAGAATTATGTATTGATGTAACTATTTGCCTTGCAGGTTGAGAAGCAGGTGTGCTTGCATGCATGTTAATGGTTTGGCAAAGTGTGTATAACTAGATCTGACATGTGTGTCATTCATTCTGAAGTGTTCACTCACTCATCACTTTCAACAACACATTGAGAACCTACTATAGACCTGACAGATGCAGCAGATGGTCCACACTGAAATGTGCAGTCACTATCTTGATTCCAGAAGACAGACAAGGTTGAAAATGTCTCCTTAAGAAAATGAGAAGACATTTCACTTTATAATTTGGCAACTGTGAAAATTAAGCTCTGACATTATAAAATACGTCCTAAATCTAATTGAAATTATAATTTTCACTAGATGTTGGGACTTCTTCATTTATTGTGTTAGTGGCATTTAATAATATTTATTTGCCAAATACTTTTACAGAGTTTAATTTATAAATGGCCATTAAGTCACCTCAACCTTCTAACAGTTTTAGCATGTTTGGCTATGAAATTATTTCTCAAGAACTGTTCTCCAGGGAGAAAGACAACTCCAGCACAAGCAATACTTTAAGCCATGAAGTTGTAACCTATCTCAGAAGGTATCTGGTTAGCATTCTGTTGAAAGCAAAGGCAAAGTCAGCCCAACTGTTTAAAAACCCAGAGAACAACAATAGCCCAAGAAAACTTCCAGAAAAAAAAAATTCTTCAGAAATGATATTTTTACAAAAACCAACCACTCAGATTAAAGAAAAAACTCTCAATTCCTGAAAATAGCTATGAGTAGAAGTAAAAACAAGAAAAACAAGGGCTATTGTATAGATAGGAGTGAAGTCTATAAATACAAATAGTTAAACCAATTTGAAATTTAAAGCAAAGATGACTTCTACATTCACAATTATCTTGCCATCATCAAACCCTAGATAAAACCTATATGTCTAGATAGTATTTTAGTCTATTTAGCTACATAGTATCATTCATTATATATCTATGTAATAGTATTCACATGAGATTTATCTACATATATATGTTATGGCTTTAGCATTTTCCCAAAACTGAATTTGACTCTTGAGAAAATACATGCAGCAGCTGATTTCTCTTTGTGTGAGCTGTATAATGGTCTTGTTGATTTTGTGGAGTTAATTCAGTTTCCAAAAGTGCATGAATTTAATTCCCCTGATGCTGGTTATGTTGAAAATCTGGCTTAACATTTACTGAGTTCCCACAATGAATAAGACTGGCTTCCTCTAGTAAACTTAAAGAAAAAAAATCTGTACTGAACAATGTCAAGATCTGAGACAAGTAAAAATGTTTGAGTAGGACTGTTGCACTTTAAAATCAGATGTCCAGCACTGCACCTAAAACATAAAAAGAACAAAAAGTATTGCATTTTGCAAATGTCTTTAACATTTTCAATAGTTTCCGCTACAGATAATGCCTTTGTATTTGCTACATTAAGAATAGAATAGAGAAGCCTTCAACCCCTGCATCATATGCAGCAGGCATTTTGCAGAATCAAGTAATGTATCCACTGGTTATACAGCATGAAATATAAGCTCGATGTGTGTGAAAGAGTGAATCCAAAGCAAAAAATGAAATAACACATTTCAAGAAATACAATGGCGTTGCCTCAAAGGGTGACCAGCAGGTAAAGTAAAATGGCATGGACATAGTAGGTGTGCATTAAATACTCTCTAAATTACATTAAAATTATTAGTTCTATTTAAAAAGGCCTATATTTTCATCTCGGAAAGTTAATTTCAGTGTAGAATGACACACAGTAATATTTTACAATAGTTATGAAGAAAGGTTATTTTAGAAATTACCACTTGGCTAAAAAAAGAAAAGGAAAAAGGGTATTCAGGACATGGGTCAGGAAGATGACAATACAATCTTTATATTGAAGTTTCACTATGCTAAACTCAAGGCTAAAAGTTGTGATTTGTGCACGTTTTGAGCAGAGTTCTAGAAATAAGCTATTTCTTGGAGAAACATTGCACAATGGTAGTGAATAGCAGCTGCATAGTGAAGGAAAGATTTTATGATTTTAAATACTTTCTCCTATATAGGAAGAGAAATTGGATAGGTCCAATCAGTCAGCATCACTTTGGATCTGAACATATGAGGAGTTACCTGCATTGAGCAAATAAATGCGATAATTATTGTTCCTTCCAATTACCTTGACATACATAACTATAGCAAGAAATTTTGGGGGGCCAGGAGCAGTGGCTCATGCCTGTAATCCCAGGACTTTGGGAGGCCAGGGTGGGCAGATCACCTGAGGTCGGAAGTTCAAGACCAGCCTGACCAACATGGAGGTTTTTCGTTTTTTGTTTTTTGTTTTGAAAGAGTCTCGCTTGTCACCCAGGCTGGAGTACAGTGGTGTGATCTCAGCTCACCACAACCTCCACCTCCAGGTTCAAGCGATTCTCCTGTCTCAGCCTCCTGAGTAGCTGCGATTACAGGCATGCCCACCACAGCCGGCTATTTTTGTATTTTTAGTAGAGACGGGGTTCACCATATTGGTCAGGCTGGTCTCGAACTCCCGACTTCATGATCCTCCTGCCTTGGCTCCCAAAGTGCTGGGATTACAGGTGTGAGACACCACGCCCAGCCAGCAAGAGGTTTTTTAGCAACCTGAATTTAAAAGTTATATTCAGGTTTATTTAGAAAATAAACAATTTGCATCCATTTTTAAAGTAATCAGCCTTGTTTGAAATGAAATGTCTCAAATGAGGGGATTCTTTTTATTATAGAACTATGATGTTTAGCAATAGGTTGATAGTAAACAGATTTCTGTAGAAAACAAATATTTACCAGTAGTGGAAAGTTGTTCCATGGTGTATTATCATAAGTAATTCATTTATCTTTAAGAGCCATCTCTTTAATACTCCACATGTGCCACCCTACTCTTCAAAGATTACTCATCTGGGGACAGTTAAAGAAGTGAGTAAATCATTTGAAAATCGTAAAAGACACTAGTAACACAAACAGGCTCTTCTCTTGGGCCGTGTTTTATTAGAAAGAGCTGGCAGTTAGATCACTTACAAAACACCGTACCCTGAATGTTCAAAGAAAGAGAAACCTTCACAGAGCAATGGACTCATGGCAATCCCAGTAATTAATGAGAAGGGAAGAAAAGGACAAATTTAAATATGTTTCAAATTTAAGTTCATTTGAACCATCACCTAGCTCGGATAACCTCCTCCCTTGGCATTTCAGAGTGCACAATTTGAATACCATTTCACGAGTAAAAGGAAAATGAAAACAGGAGATGCCTATCTTCTGTGTTAAAACAAGCACACAGTTCTTAGTTTGCAACACTCGGGTCTCATGCAGAGTTTTAAAGGTCAAAATTTTACTAAATCAATGCTTACCAATTATCTTTAAAATGTTTATTTAACACTTAAAAGCAGTTTAACTTTCTAAAATGTCTGAAGACTCTTCTCTTCCAAAAGGAAGAGAGCCCCTTACTAGTCCAGTTACATGAGACAACAGACACAGCAAGTTCAGCACTGAAACTTGAAAAGACATGTTATTCACGTTGGTGTATTTCTCCATTATGCAAAACTGGATTCAGTGCACACAAAAAATAAGCATATGCAAAAGAGAAGTACCATTTCTATCCTTTCTTGTTATCACACTTCTGGCATGCTAATGTGCATGATGTCAACATCGACCAACATGGCTTTGTTTTATGATATGCATTTTTGCCTATTTGAGAAACTTCATTTATTCAAAAATATTCACTGAGTGGCCACTATGTCCCAAGCATAATACTAGACATTTGGGATTAAAATATATATATATAAACAAAATACAATCCCAGAGCACAAGAAGCTACAGGAGCTATAGGAGCTTCTTATAGTCCAGGATTGTATTTTGTCTATATATTTATCCCATGTAGACCAACAATGGAAAATGCCATAATGAGGTAATAATAATTGTTGCCACATATGAATTAAGAACTTTATATTTACCACCTCATTTAATCATGACATTATTGTCGTTCATAGGTGATGAATTTGGGAGGTAGAGAGAAGTTAATGGACTTGCCCAGGGACACTCAGCTAAAAATAAGAAGCCTCGGGATTTGAGCTCAAGTCCCCTGACATCAAAGTCCACGCTGTAATTCTTTACATGACAGCTCTCCAAAGAAAAATGGAAGCATAAAGAAAGAACCCCAGTAGGGGCAAGAGAGTTAGGGAGCCAGGAGAAAGGAGGTTTCAAAGAGCTTTTGCTTCTGCTGAGACTGTAAAAGACTAAGTTAGTCAGGACCTGAGCAGTTTCATCATAAATTCTTTAGGAAAATAAGTCAGATTGCCAATGAAAATGTTGATATTGCCCTAGATTTATTTGGCTACCTAAAGAAACAACCTTAAAGACATACTCAAATACTGTCGCACACTTTGTTCCTATTGAGTGACGCTTGCTTGATTCAAGCTTGCTTGATTATTGTTCATCATCATGTCAAACTGAAGAAAAGCAAGAATGTCCCACATTTTAAAATTGATAAAAGGCAAACAGGCAGGGTGTAGTGGCTCACACTGTAGTCCAGCTATTCAGGAGGGTGAGAAGGGACACACCTTGAGCCCTAGAGTTCAAGGCTGCAATGAGCGATGATCGTGCCACTTCACTCTAGCCTGGGTGACACAGCAAGACCCCATCTCAAAAAACAAAAAGCAAACATGTACACAAAAAACCGTGAGAAGAGGGAAAAAGTCCTTCAGGGCTATCAACTAGGCCTGTGCAACAGCATCCTAACAGGAAAGCATGCGGCAGGATTGGTGGAGGCAGATCTCACATGCAACGCAGCCAAGAGTGCTACTCTAAATGACCTTAAAGGGCATGGAGCACAGTTTCCAGACCAACTGAAAGTAAGAAAAGAATATTTACAAATTAGCGTTTCTTCTTCATAACTAGATGTAAGCAGCTCCATGAAATGTGTTTCTATATACTACACTACTTTGGCCTCATAGCGATCCTGTGAGTTCTGAGTTCTTAACGTATTCCCATTTCATACACAAGGAAAGAGGTGAACAAAAGTTAAAAGCATGAGTTATTTAACAATAAAGAATTGTGAGGCATTTGTGTAACTTTAATCATTTTCATCAAAATGATTTGTCCTTTTCAGCTCCATAAGACAGGGAGAGAAAAAAGCAAACAAACAAAATTATTTCTCCTCTGCCTCATTGCCTCAGCATCATGCTCTGATTCTAAGCATAACTTAAAAGCCTACTCTACATAAACCACTATACTAGCTGTTTATGGAGGAAAAAAATGGAAAACATATGTTCCCTACCCCTGAAGAGCTCCCTGTATGAGGCCCTCTGCTGAAGAATTGCCAAATGAATCATTTTTTTCTTTGTTCTACATCCAGTCTCATGTGACAAATGAATATTTAACACTATGATAAAGAATGATTATGGGCTAATGCTGTGTTTCTCATGCTAGTGTAACACTAGTTCCAAGATAGGCTGCCTTTTTTATTGTTGCTGTCGTTGTTGTTGTTGTCGTTGTTGTTGTTGTTGTTATTTTGTTTCTGAGATAGGGTCTCGTTCTGTCGCCCAGGCTGGAGTGCAGTGGTATGATCATGGCTAACTGTAACCTCAAACTCCTGGGCTCAATCACCCTCCCAAGCCTCCCAAGTAGCTGGGACTACAGGCAAATGCTACCATGACCAGCTAATTCTATTTTTTTTTTGTAGAGACAGGATCTCATGATGTTGCCTAGGCAGAACTCGAACTCCTAGCCTTAAGCATTCCTCCCACCTCAACCAGGTGTGAGCCACCATACCAGGCCTCCTTTTTTTACCAAAAAAAAAAAAAAAAAAAAAAAGAAGAAGCGGGAGAGAAGGAAATCCCATGGTAAAAGGCTGGGAAATCTTATATAGTACGCATCTACCTTGGAGATTTGAAACATACATTAGCCTATTAGAGCTCTGTTAAGTCTTTCAATAAACAAACTTGCTATCTTTGTTTACATAATACCTATCAAACCATGCTGAATATATGTTCTATGAAATATACTTTGAGAAAAGCTGGGTTAATGTGTCACCCCTTACAAGAGCTATTTCGTATTTGTTAATATTAGAAATAGGATTTCACCCTTATGGCAAGCCGGTAAGGGAGTTACTAGCAAATGAGTCATCTGCCACCTCTCAATCCGTTGTCATAGAAAGCTGCCTCTTTGTCTGAGCAAAAGGCTATCATGTAGGGGCAAGCCCAACTTGCCTTCTCTTCCATTAACCAATCACAAATCAATCAAGAACATCACTTCTGGCAAAAGCTGTGTTGACTCACTCAGATCTAAAAATAACTCTTGACCATGTGTGGTAGGTCTAGATTCTTCTCTAGGATCTAACATGTATCTTCACGAATTTTAAGGTGTTATTTAGTTGTAATCATTTGCCACTAATACATACTAATCTGCTATAAAGAGAGGCCAGACAAATAATAAAACCCCCACTTCTCTTTTTCAAGTTGTGTGGAAACTTTGCCAGCATTAAACGTTCCATCACAATATTTGGCAAATGCATACTGGCATTTATACACTTTAAATTTTAACAGATTCAGAGAGGAATAGTCCAAAATAATCATTCCAGCCTTTGAGAAAGAAAAATCCTGCTCTAAAGAATGTTTTTGAGATAGCGTTTTAGCTATAAATCAGATTTACTTCCCAAAGCAATCTTGAACTACATGTAAAAGAAATAGTGTTTTAAGCAAATTAATCTTAACTCATATTTAACTCTGGGTGGAGTGGTCTGGGAACACAGAATCCATTACTTAGACTTAAGTTAACAAAGGTTTCTTTATGAGTACTGTATTTCGATGATGGGATATATATGCCTGGAAGGCATATGTTTGGGTTTGAATACATGAGTCCTTAAGCATGGAAATAAGAAAAAATTATAAATATAAGTAAACGAAAGAAAAAATGGGAAAATGACCATGCCTAGCAGGTATGATATCTAATGGGGACATATCTGAGCACTTAGAATCAGCCCCTAGCCTAGTCTAAGCTCATTCTTCATCCCAGTTCCAAATGGGCCACAAACACTAACTCCCAGTGTAGAGGAAATCCATCTGGGGTCCAGACTTAACAATGTCTGAGGAGATGAGACCAATGACAGGACCATTTGTGATTCTGCTCATTGAAATTGGCTGCTACTCGCAACCTCCTCTCACAGATTCTTGCAGACCTCAGAAGTGATACAAAATGATGACTGAGATCCAACATTCAGCTGGTCAGCAATCAAGCTGATCCTAAGATGTCATCACAGAATAGGTTTGGCTATTCCTCGATGACCATTCAAAATGCAATTTGCTTTGCCATTTGATGAATTCAAATGTTGAACATCTTGCAAAGAGAGCCATTTTCAGAAGATAAGCTCAACTACACCCCCACGTCCTGTATCAAGCATGTTAAAGATCACTTCTTTCTGCTCAGTAAGAGAGTTAATTGTATCAACAAACATTTCTGTCCAAAAACTGCTAGTCTAACTAAGTAAACGTCTAGCTTGCCGATTCACCACAGAAAGGGCTTTATGTGCGTATTGTGTTTTATTTCGTTGGAGTTCTTCTGTTATGTTTTATTTTGTTGGAGTTCTTCTGTTACGACAACTAAATTCTTAGAAATCCACTGTTTTTTTTTTTAATGTTCAGAAAAGAATCTAGATTAAGAAAACTTATCAACAAATCTGACACTCTCTTGCTGGAAAATAAAACGAACGTGAGCCACTTCACCTCAAAATTTCAGTCAAGTAAACACACTAGTTAAGTTCAATATTATTTCCTAAAGCTGAATCAGATGTTATTTCAAGCCAAAAAATAAGGTTCTTAAAGGTGAAAATAGTTAAGGCAGTTGGCCCTTTTTCAAAAGCAGGGGTCCTAGTGAAGACAGATATCTATACCAGCTATTTGGAATTTGTCAATGTCAACAAACTGTACAGTCCTGTCTTTTGTCATCCATTCTTCAATAATCCAGTTTCCCTGACCTGTTGACCTACTGTCTTTTTCTCCAGTCCTCCTAAAGCCAATCTTGCAGCCTCACATACCTTTATGCTGTTCTTCAACCTCCCAATTCTCTATTCCCCTCAGGGCAAGGGACTATCTTCTGTGTTATCTTCTATGGGCTGTGCAGAGCACAACTCATAGAGGCCCGGTCCACCTGAGTACACAGGTGCTCAAAAGAAAAAAGAACACTGAATGAACCCACTTGTACCTCAGAATAAGTATAATATTCCTTTTTACTTCTTAAATAGTTTAATCAAAGAAACTGAAAGGCATCTAAGAATGGTGAATATTTCCTTTATCCACATTTACCTGAAGTAATTCACACAAGCACCATCAAACTTGTACACTGATCAGATCTCTACATTTACTAGTTTCCTGAAGATTTCTATCTATATGACCCTCATAAAGGTGATCGAGGGGGATATCACCCTTGTAGTTTTGTTAGCGTTGGTTTCTAATAGTTTATTTCTACTTTAAAAATACAAGGGACATAGACACTTTGTATTCTATTAGTAATACCGTAGACTTAGAGTCTCCTTCATTAAAAAGGAATGGTAAAGTACATATTGTACAACACTTCCAAGTTTGTCTCTGTGAGAGGAATTCAATCAATGTATTTGTATGTATGAGGAATAAACATTTTATTTTAATTCACTGTGTTATGTAGCTATGATGGATTCATTTTTTCCATACTGCATATTCAGTATTTTTCCATAATGTAGATTATTCATAATGTGGATTCAAGCCCGCTATGGTGTCCAAACATGAGCTGGGTTCTGGAGTCAGGGTCCCACTTCACAAAGCTTGCATCTAAAAGAAGGATTTGCAAACCTTGATGAACTATATATTCCAGATACTTAAGCAAGGAATCATTGTTGTCATTTTCTAAAGCATATCACATTCTAAGAGTAATACCACTTTAAAATTTATTTCCAAATTGAAACACCAAAAAGTTAAACATTAGCTTTCATATAATCTCTCTGAAGTAACAATGCAGAAAACTCTGGGATCAATCTACAAAATAGAGTAACAAAGGGTTTTCATTAAGAAGGCAGCAGGAGAGTCACAAATACTTACATTAGCTTAACTGTGCCCAGGATTCTTGGCTTTGATTATTGGTTTAGCTGAAAATCCAGTTATCACATTTAAAAATTTTCCCTATCTTCAGCTAACAGTAGAAACTAAGTTTCAAAATGTCCAATCCTACATGCTGAATCCTGCCAGATAGAGTAGTTAATATTAAATGTTTTCTAGGATCTGATCTTAGAATTTTGACAGCAAACTTACACAAACCTTTTTTTCTTATATTATTTGAAGGTAAGAAATATTTCCTGAAGATTTATTCTTGATCAACCTATCTACTATACATTTGAAGATCAAAATGTCTACTGATCGCCTATTTTAATCCTTTCTCAGTTTGGTTCTTATGCATCATTATAAAACTACTCTGGCCCTTCAACGAGAATTTTTAGCCTACTTTTCTTGCTTGCTTTGTCATTAAACAAAAATTAAGCATCCCATGCTGATATCATTAGCACAGATTACTTTAGCCATACCTTGATTATCAGAAGACCAGGCCCGAATTATTTCCTAAGCAGAAACATAATGAAAAAAAGTCCCAAGAACATTTTTAAATACCTCTTTATTAATACTAAATGCATCACAATTAACATAAATCAAAAAGTGCTTTAACATACTCCTAGGAAAGATGAATACAGATGGTTATTCAGGAACATCAGTTGGAATAAAGACCCCATCACAAACTATTCATCTCAAATGGTTATAGCATAGAAAATGGAATACTCCTTTTCCCTTGGAAAGGCCTTGTGCCGTTTCAAAATCTGAACGTCAGTCAGAAACCACTTTTCACCCTGGTAGGAGGAGGGGGTCCGACGTGTCTGCATACACCACCACCCCAGATTGGCAATATCCCTAAGATTCCCCGAGCATCCACAGCAGCGAGTGTACCTAATACTTATGCACTCACAGGTAGAGATGGGTACACAGAGCCAATAAACTGGTCCTCTGGAAATTAGAGAAAAAAATGAGAAATAACTCGTTCTCCTTGCCTCTAAATCACTGCCTTCTGCACCTTATCTTTCTACTCATGTCAGCACGGAAGACCAACCCTCCTTGCTGGGGACTCGCAATCATTCCTTTGGTTTTTTCACCCAGCAAAGTGAGAACGACCGCTGGGGTTGCGTGCGTCAGGATTTGTTTTTTCCGTATTGCTACCCCCCACCCCCCGCCACCCCAGCCTCCCAAAACCTATACTCACTAGAGGGTGGGCTAAGGTCTGGGAAGATGGGCTTGGGGCTGAGCGGATGGGACGGAAAAGCAGAAATTGGGTCCCTGGCACTGTTAAGTCGGGTTCTTCCCCATTTCCATCCCTCCCTCCACTTCCCACCTTCCACCTTAGATACCTTTTACCAAGAAGCCCCCCTGGGCCCATCCCTCCCTCCTTCCCCCACCACCAGCAGTCCCACCCTCTGCCGCCCGCCCTCCGGGATGCCCCCAAGGCTGTCAGGGGGCAGCACCCTTACCAGGCTCATGGACGCCAGGGTTGTCGGATAGCTCGATGACCAGGAGCTCCCGGCCCTCGAAGCTGCGCCCCACCGTGTAAATCCTGCTGATGGCGGTGCACTGCAGCCACACGGACACGAGCGCCTCGCGCAGCTCGGGGTAGCGGTGGTACTCGAAGGAGATGCCGTCCTCCTGCTGCAGCCGCCGGCGCCGCCTCATGCCGGCCGCGGGAGCCCCGGGCTCCTGGGCTTCGGCGCCCAGGAGCCACCCGCAGGCAGCCAGTGCCCCGCACAGAGCCAGCAGCGCGCGGCCCCCTCGCCCAGCCATCACTGCGCTCCGCCGCCGCCGGCCGTGCCTTCCTACGCGGGCGGCCTCTTTTGTCTGCCCGGACCTGGGCTTAGCCGGCCGGCGGTGCTGGGGGCGGCGGCAAGTTCCGCACCAGCCTCCACTCGCCTCACCTTCCCCGGTTGAATGAGTGTCAGCCCGCGCACTGGGGCCACCCAGAGGAGAGGGGCGAAGCCGCGGCTCCGCGGGCTGCACTACTGGCCGCGGAGCCCAGGGGAGCTGCAGGAGAAACCACTGCGAGGAGGGGGCCGGCGGAGAGCGAGACGGGCCGGCGTGGATTTGGGAGGGCTGCTGGCGTTATTTATTGGCTCGGAACCACGTCAACAGCCAAATGGCGTCCGGGACGACGCAGGTGAAATGACAGCTAAGGTCTGGGGTTCGGGAACGTTACTGTCATTGAGACACCCATGACCCACCCACGTCACTGCGTATGGAAAAAATATTCTTGTATTGTTACTGGAGCCTTTTAAAGGGACATCTATTCCAAGCCTTCCAGTTTCCATCTTGATGCACCAAGAATTAGAGAATATTCCAGAAAAAAAGGAAGTATTGGCAGCCACTTGCCATCTCCTGATGCGTCTTTCATAACTGTATCAAGAGTCCAAACACAAACCCAAGGGTTGGGTTTTCATTTCTTGGAAAGTCTTGCTGGAAATCAGAACATTAAGTGCTTTGATTCAGAGATTTAAGAGAATAGAAATGCTTTCTTCCAATTTGTAGATAACTGTCCTTAATTGCATTTATGCACGTTCCTAGATTCTTCCAGAAAACAAACAGACAAAACAGATAAGGCAATGTCATGTGGCTGTGCCTGCACCAGCCCTCCTCTGTAATACTATGGGGAAAATAAAATACAACTCTGCTGATGCTTTAGACAAAGGATTTAGTTTGGCATTAAGATTAAATCCTGTTAAGAAAACTCTGATGATGACACCTCCATTCCTTTTGCAAAGCTATTGTAAAAATAAAACATCATTTATAGCTTTAAATACCCACCCCTTAGTCGGGATTTATATTCCTGGAGCAATGTCTGGAGCAGATGTTACTCTAAAGAGGCTGCTGTTTGGAATCAGGGACAGCACAAATCTAAATAAATAATCCATTGGGTTTTGCAACCAAGCAGGAAAAGTGGACACCATGCGGATAATTTTTCATGTTAGGCTTTTTTTTGTTTGTTTTTCTAAACTTGTTCATTCTTCACCTGTTTAACAGTGCGTTGCACATAATAAAAAATTTACCAGGAAAAAGAGTTAGATATTTAAGTCATTGTTTTGGATAAGTAAAAGCACAGACATGGTTGGTGAGGTGCTGCTGGAGGGGCTGGCTTCAAACACGCCTATGTACATTGACTACAACAGCATGGATCTTCTTTTTTTTTCTTTTTTCTTTTCTCCTTTTTTTTTTTTTTTTTTTTGGCGTTTTTGGGGAGAAGCTGTCACTGTAAACACATGGCACTCAAGTTCAATTGATGTGGATCCAGCCAATTTTTTTTTGTCAATGTAGACAGAGCTAAAAATTGTATATCTTCCACTATGACCAGCCTGTGTTTGATTACATGGTCCAGAAGTTTGAAATCAAACTTATAATTATATTTCTAAAATCATGCCCAAAACAGCAACCTTGGAAGCCTAGAAAAAAAAAATTGAGTAGCTAAAACCAAATAACTTCAGAAGTAGGAGGTTAAGATTTTCATGTTAGCAATTTAGAGTAACCACACTAATTTGTGGCTAGGTGGGGCGTACTGACTAGTAACTATACACATAAACAACATGTTTTTCATTGAAGTCCTGTGTTGTTCCTTTGCTGTCTCTTTGAACAAAGGATATGCTTTCTATTTTCTACAAAATAAAAAATTTTGGAATGAAAACTTGGTCTGAATTTCTGGGCTATTTTAGGTGTAGGTCAGCTGTACCAACTTTACTGGCATATGTATTACTTGTTTGTGGCTTCATAGGCAATTATACAAGAGATTATATATCCACCCTGATTGCTGGATAAAAAAATTTTATTTTGGAGGAAAAAATGTTTTAATGTGCAAAATCATGCCTACTATGTGGTCTCACTTGTTGGGGGTGGGGGTCTTTTACAGCTTAGTTGTTTGTTTCCCTAATATATAAAATAAAAGGTTTGGATTATTCACTCTCTAACGTTTGCTTGCAACGAATCATGTAGAGAGCTTATAGAATGTGCAAATTATTAAGCCCCCACCAATTCATCAGGTCTGGGGTGGGTTTCAGGTACTAACAAGCTTCTAGGTTTTAAAAGGAAGACCAGTCATTTCTGATTTTGATGTTTGATTGACAAAGACATTTTGAGAAATAATATACTGTAGATTTCCTACTGTCTCTTTCAGACCTAAAATGCTATGATTCTGGAAATTTTGAAGTAAATTCCTGCTCATTTGATAAATGGTAGCACTCCTCTCATGTTATTGATCACGCCACATACACCAGGGCATCAGTTCAAATGAACTAAAATTTGGTCTTTGAATTTCTGATCTATTTTAGGTATAGGGCAGCTGTACCAACTTTACTGGCACATGCATTACTTGTTTGTGGCTTCATAGGCAATTATGCAAAAGATTATATACCCATCCCGATTACTGGATTTAAAAAAATATTGTATGCCAAGTCTTTAATGTGTTTGTGTACACATAGTTAAATTTAGTATGCAATCTCCATTTCAAATCGTGTGCACACATGCACACACAAGAAACAAAAAGAGAAAGAGCTGCTTTTTCTTCATGTCATTATAGGCATCCATAAGAGCATATTTAAACTCCCAAAGTCTCCCTCCACACCTTGCTTCACCTCTATTATCTTTAAATTAAGAAACTATCTTTTTCTGTATGAATAATATTTTATTTCCTTCTTTCAAAGCCCTTCCTAAAATTCATCTAATTCATAAAAATTCTATGAACATATAGCTCTATATTCATCCTCTTGTGTGCTGGTAAATGTCAGCTGTCTGGAGGGAAAAGTCTGATTTAGAATGTTTACTAATTTCCATGGTTCAAATATTCCCACCATGGCTGATTTCAAACTACCAAAGTTGCATCACTGAATACAGTGTTAGGAAGAAGTATGCAGTAGCATGACATCATATAGTGTTGTGATGGGACAATTCTTTATACTCCTCCTTTGCAAGTGCTGAAACTTAATTTCTTCCATGTGAGTGTAGGCAGGACTTAGTGGTTTTCTCATGAACATAACATAGCAAAAGTAATGAGATGATCTTCTAAAATTAGCTTATTAAAAAGACTGCAGCTCCCATCTTAACTGCTCTCTCATGCTTCTGTGTGTGCTCTCTCCCCACCAACCCCTCTCCCTCTCTCTCTCCCTCCTTTCCTCCCCTCAGTCCCCCATCACTCCATCACTTGTCTTGGGGAAGTTGTCTGCCATATTGTGGAGAGGCTCATATAGCGAGGAACTGAGGCATCTGGCAAACAGCCGAAGAGAAACTGGCATCCTCAGTCTAGCAGTCAGTTAAGAACTGAGGTCTGTCAACAACCATGTGGGTGGGCAGGGGCAGATCTCAACCCCACCTGAGCCTCAAGAGGACTCCATCTCTGACATCTGACATCTCTGAGGTTTATTACAGCCGCATTAGAGACTCTGAGCCAGAACCACCCACCACTAATACATACATCTCCCCCATACAGATACAATAGCCATAAATAACCTCAAGAACATCAAGGATAGGGTGACGTCAGCAAGATAGCAGAATAGGAAGTTCCAGCCCTCATTCCCCAACAGAAACACAGATTTAACAGTGATATAAGTAAAAAATTAGCTTTATAAGAAGTTCAGGATTAAGTTAAGAAATTTCAGTACCCCAGACAAACAAAAACATAATGGTCAGCCACACTGAAACAGATAAGAAAAGCTATTTCACTTACCTGCTAGTACAACTCAGCCCCAGAGAGATTACAATCCTTTCCTGGTGTGGGGAGGGCAGGGGATAGAGAGTAGAGTGAGCATCCAACATTTCCGGCCTTTCAGTACACCCCCAAGGGGCTGGCTTCTGTTGTGCCTCTTACAGAGTGCTTAAAGATATAGCATAGTACAGATGCCTGGGAAAGCTAGGAGAATGGGCACCTTCCCATGGCTGGCAAGGCTCTGAGACCTGTAGAAGGCATAGAACTGAGGTCTCTCCTTCAGGAAAGAAGGAGGAGTGGATCATGACTCTAATGTCCTGAGCCTTTCAGTGAGCTCCCTGAAGAGCTAGTTTCTATCTCATCTCGTATGGAGCACAGACGAGACTGACATGGGAACCAGAGAAGGTAAGAGATTGCTAGTGCTGAAAAGAAAAGAAAGGAAAAGAAACAAGAAAAGGAAAAAAAAAAAAAAAAAAGAAAAGAAAAAGACTGAACACCTGGGTCAGGACCTAGGAACAAGACCCAGAAATTCTACCTGGGCTATCTTGCCCAATCAAAGCCAGTTCATTAAGACTGGAGAACATGTCATTAAGACATGGATGTCACCTGTAAAGACATCAATGCAAAGCTACAAGTAACACAAAAAATCCGGAAAATAAAACACAATCGAAAGAACAAAATAAATATCCAATAACTGGCCCTTAAGAAAATGGAGATCTGGCCGGGCGCGGTGGCTCAAGCCTGTAATCCCAGCACTTTGGGAGGCCGAGACGGGCGGATCACTAGGTCAGGAGATCGAGACCATCCTGGCGAACACGGTGAAACCCCGTCTCTACTAAAAAATACAAAAAACTAGCCGGGCGAGGCGGCCGGCGCTTGTAGTCCCAGCTACTTGGGAGGCTGAGCCAGGAGAATGGCGTAAACCCGGGGGGCGGAGCTTGCAGTGAGCTGAGATCCGGCCACTGCACTCCAGCCTGGGCGACAGAGCCAGACTCCGTCTCAAAAAAAAAAAAAAAAAAAGAAAATGGAGATCTATGAATTGTCTGACAAAGACTTCAAAATAATCATCTTAAAGTAGCTCAGCAAATTACAAGAGAACCCAGATAGACAACTAAACAAAATGAGGAAAATAATACATTAAATAAACAA